TATAGATAAGGAATTTTTATTTTATCATTTTCTTCCTTTATTCAGGAACATTCTTTTGAGGTATCATTATTTGCGGAACTTTTTAATGAGATGTTAATGCGAGATTTTGGATTCCGAATTTATCGAGCGTTGTGTAGTCTTCCTGAAAAACCTAAAGAGAAAGATGAAGACAAGAAAAAAGATAAGAAAGATGAGAAGAGAGACGAGAAAAAAGATGATAAGAGAAAGGATGATGAAAAAAGATGCAATAGGAAAGATGAAAGAAAAGACGATAAAAGAAGAGAAGGAAGTAAAGATAAAAAGGATGAAAAAGATGCAAAATGTAAAACTGATGACAAGGATCGAGACAAAGAAAAAAATGATGACGACGATGATGATGAGGAAGATGAATCTGATGTAATTATCTTTGTAGATACTATTAAATATATGGACCTAAATTTTTATAACAATCTATTATAATAATAATAATATTTTGTAGGATGATGATTCAGTTAAAGATGGTAGAAGAGATAGGGAAAAAGATGGAAGAAAGAGAAAAACAAAATTGTACACACACGATCCTTATCTCCTACTATCTTTCGTTTATTTCGATCAAACTCATTGTGGTTATATATTTGACAAAGATATAGAAGAACTTATTTATACTTTAGGACTGAATTTATCAAGAGCTCAAGTTCGTAAATTAGTACAAAAGGTTGTAACTAGGGATTCTTTGCATTATCGTAAGTTGACAGATAAATCGAGGGAAGATGACTTAAGAGAGGAAAAAAGAGATGAAAAGGAAACCGACAAGAGTGATTCTATTAAGGCAGAAAATGAAGAAGAAATATTACGTTCATTAGCGCTTGGTATATTTTAAATCTCTTATGTTTTAAGTACCATATTTGTATATCGTGTAAACAGGATATTAATATTTTACAATTTCCTTGTATTAGGAAATAAAAAATTATTGCCAGTTTTTGTTGGAAGTGGACCACCTTCAAAAAGAGCACGAAGGGAAGATGCCATTACGGAACAGTCTGAAGAATCAACTGTACCAGAAGGTTTTGTTATGTACAAAGGTTCTTTATTAGATGTAGAAAAACTCGTTGGCCAATTAAAAAGGTCAGAAAAAGCTCGGTTGGACACAGAAGAGCGTATGATGGAGTTACAACATGAATTGTCAATAGTAAATGAAAAGTCGACAAAACAGACGAATAATATCAAAGCCCTTTCTGAAGATTTGAAGGTATATAAAGACAAATTAAGAAATACGGATGAAAAGTTTAAAAAAGTATCGGTAAGTATTGCTTTTTATAATTTTGTTTTAAAATCGTAATATTACAATAGAATATTCATATTCTGTTCTCTTTCTCTCTGTACAGTCTGAATGTCAGACATACCTCACAGCGGTAAAAAATATGTACCATATAGCAGCAAAAATGATACAGTCTGACACAAAGAAAGTAGAAATTGTAGAAATACAAGATGAAAAAATTGGCGAAGTAAATGGATCAGAAATTGAAACTAAATTTAAAGCAGACACAAGATGGGGTGACAATAAGATTCCAGTAAAAAAAGAATTCATAGAAACCGATAAAGACAAGAAATGCGACAATAAAGTATCAGTTAAAAAAGAAATAACGGAAATTGATAAAGAAAAAAAATAAAAGAAATTATGTCCTTTATTTATTGTGGAAGATGTGAATGCACCTTTATCAAATTCTAATTCTATTAGTAACAAAGAAACGGCAAATGTGCTTAGTGTTAAGCAGCACAGAAGGCGAATGGGAAAATTTTACCTATATGAAAGTAAAAATGACATTAAAGACTCTGTTTTATAACTTTTTTCACTCAGTGACAACATGTGGTAAACCTGTTTCTGTGCATATTACGTTAGATATAAGAAAAATTACGCATTCAACTAGAATAATACAGATACTAGAATGAATCATTATATTGCAGTTTTTCATATAAATTTATCGAATTTTATGCAGAAAGACAAAATTCGTAAGATTCTTTGAAATACTAATGTAATTTTGATTTGCCATGAAGTGCCAGGTACTGATAGTTGTATACCGTAATATCAGAATAAGTTTACGTTTAACATTGACGTCATATAACTGTTAATATACTTTCAAGTTTTTACCATATTTCTGAGTAAATTAGAATGATTGTCGACTTCATATTGAATTTGAAACTTAGTATTCCGTTTCTTTTTCTTTATTTAGTTTCGAGATAAACTGTCACTTAATAAGAACACATTTATTACAATGCAAACATATTTTCTTGGATGAATTATGTTTAGAATAATGTTAGCATTGTTGCTTTCATGAACATTGTTGCTTTTATGGATTATGACATATTTATAATCTTTAAATGACACTGGATAAATATTGTTTGTCACAGGTACCTTTCTCTTTAAAGCAACAGTTAATTATCATGTTTGACAGTAGCAATGTATTCGTATTATGTTGTGAGTGTATTTATTGCTTTGTACACAGAAGACAGTATGACAAAATAAAACTTTTACGCAATATGTATAACACCAACTGTAAAGTACACAGTAATGATTAATTTACGGGATATCGTTAGCATTGTTTTTCTCAAGCTGCGTATAAAATGAAACTATCCATTTTATATTTCTTGTAACTGCTGTAAATATTTTTATGACAACGGTACCTAAGAGTAATTTGAACACCAAAGTATCTGTAGACAATTTAGTATCAAGTGAATATATTGCTATACATATACATATATATACAATACAGTAACTTATTTAAAAAAAATTGTAAAAATAGCATTACATACAGTTTTTTTTATACATAAATTTACGATTTGTGTTAATGTTATTTATCTTAACGTACATTTTACACAAATTTATATGTTAATGGTGATAACCCAATATCGTAGAAAGATGAGTGCTCATGATGTCCCCCATTTTGAACACATATTACTCATTATACTTATAAATACGATCTGAATACTCGTAAAAGAATACGCAGAAATGTGTTTTTCGAATATTAGTTTATTTTATGTGTTCCATTATCACATAATACAATGCCAAGGATACTATTTTGTATAGAATTACCTATTATAGGAAAATCTTTTTGCAGTTTATTATCAAAAAATTACATCCATGTCAAGAAGCTGTAAATGCGATAAGGATAAATTTATAGGTATGAAACGATAAATAACGTGTATATGAAACAAAACTTATAAACATTGTAAAATTCCTTTCTTGGCAAGAGATACTTTGAAATATTTAAGGATATACAAACAAAATAAATTGTAAACATTCTATGCGATTTTTGTTTATACCTTTGCATATTTGTTATGAAGAAATTTTGATCTATAATCTTTTTTCTAGGAAAGTAGATTTGCATTAATTGTTTTTTAAGAACGATTTATGGTTTAATCGAATTTAAATACAGAACTACAATATTTTGAAGAAATTTTGATTACTTTCTAGGTCACTACTTTAATTTTTATAAATGTTTTACAAATCCAATTCTACATGAAAAATTACTTAAAAAACGAAAGCAAAGTTCATTAAATTATAACAGTGGCATATACGACAAAAACAAAAACAAAGAAATGTTTAATTGCAATTTGAATATTACCCAAAATATATATCACAAGTAGACTGATATTTGTTAAATGTTTTATTTTCATATTTCCAAATAATACAAATTTCTGTAATTGCTTACAAAAATATATTTTTTAAATTTTTATATTATGTATTTTTCATTAACGTTATAAATAAAAACTACCTTTTTCACTATCATTTATCATTTTAAGGATCATTAAATAGCAATAGTGAATTTTTGTGTTAAAGTAAGCAGGATATAAAAAAACCAATAACGCATTCAAACATAATATTATTTATTATCCTACCGCGTTTAGGGCCACATAGAAAACATAATTGTACATATAATATACAAATTAAAATAAGGTTTGTCTGTTACAGATTGTAAATTATCGATATTTCTATTTAATTACAAGTGAAAGCTTTCATTTATATATGTTATTTTGTAAATGTTAAATAAGATTGAAATGCTAGTTATACTTTATTAAAATTTTACACGGTTGACCTGTGTCTGCCTGGTTTTAAATGTTAAACATTCAAAGATGCTTATTACTAAATCTTACATTTTGTAAATGCAGTACTATCGCACGTTCAAGGAACTGCAGTATTTATAACGATTTGATTCCCTTAAACTTAATACATTACTAAGGGAAATTTATGTTTGCTAATCTATTAAAGTCTAAATATATTCAGTTTATTGAATACAAACAAATTTTACATACATAACAAAATGTTTTCAGTAATTGTATAATTTTGGACGATTTTGAAAAGATTCAACTGCTGCGGATTTAAAAACACAATAGTAAGGTGTTATAAATAAAATTAAAAGTGATTTGGTATTGCAAACTAATTGCAAAGAAACTTACGTTTATACATAGATTTACAAGCAATTGATAATTTGTTAATCAGTAGTTTTTTTATAATAATCAGCTTCAAATATTATAAATTGTTAAATTTCCGTTAAATTCAATACACAGATGTACATCTTATTAAAAGCCCTGTACTTATATTTTTAAAATATAAGAAAATGTAAATTTAGGCTATACTGCAAATGTGATATCCATTTGTTTGTCATATAGTGGATATCGGCTTAGAGGGTTAATAACTTATTTTCGTTTAAAGTACATCACATTTTATAAAACATTTTAGGAATGTCTTCAAATAGAAGATGTATGGATTAATGTATTAGAAATATTTCTACAACAGAAGAGTAACATTAGATAAAAAGATATCTTTTCTGAAAATATTTGTATTGAAAATTTATATTAATTTATAAAGTATAATTGCATATAAATTAACTACGTATCAGCAAAAATGGGTAGTATACGAGTATATGCACAAATATTCCCGTGCTTTATTCAAATATATTTTATATTTTAAACAAAAAACGGAATGATATAAATCAAAGAAGATAAAAGAAAAAGATAAATATAAATCAAAATGAAACAAAATGGCATAAATTTGTAGGAATATTTAATTCATTAGCAAGGTGTATTGTAAATTCTCAAAAGATGAGTTATGTTAGAAGAATTTCATGTTAGAAGATTATAATTTTTACATTTTAAAGTAGCAAATAAATAAGTAGATAATATTTATGACGAGAAAACTCAACAAAAGATTTTTTACAATATTGTGTTAAGTTATTAGATAGACATATTAGCAATTAAACTAAGTAAGTTTTAATTTTTTAGAAGTAGGATTACTTTTTTGTAGTATTCAGTCTGTTATTTTAAAAGGATTACGTCTATACTGCAATATGTTTCTGTAAATATTAACCTATCATTCATTATGAAGGTAAAACTATTGAATCAAATTCAATATCATATGCATATAAAAAATTATTTTATGCTCTTAATTTCTTTTTATTATTATACCACTTTACAAATTAAAATGTGAATAAAAGAATTTACATATACATGAAATATTTAGTATCCCCTGATATCGATTAAACAATATTAAAAATGAATTTTGTTTTTCTAAAATCATTACATTATGTTGTTATATTATTAATTAAAACATACAAAACTGTTAATACCTGTACTTATTGTCTTGTTTGTTTTATTTATCTATCTACATTGCAATTTCACGAGTACTTCTTAAAAATCAATTGGGAAATGAACCAATAGTGGCATTAATTTTATGTTCAATGATTCAGGAGACTCTAAATATGGTAAACTAAGAAAATTTAATAGCACCAAATATAATCTTACAAATCAGCCATGGTTTAAATTATAAGTTACATAAATTATAAAAAAAAAAATCACAACTCGGATTTTAACAATGATAAGTCAGTTGTTAAAATCAGAATCAGTTAAAAGGTATTATTTAGTATTGATGATTTTACATCAAATAAGAAATAATACAGTCAAAATTAAGCTCATTTGTTAAAAAATTTTGAAATCAAGATTAATGTTTGCGATATTTAACAACATATAGAAAAACGAAATGTAACAATTTCCTGCAGAATTTCTATATGTATAGAACATAAATTTGTACAGCGAGCAATCCTTTATCTTGTATTTCTACTCTAAGTACAATGGCTGTAAAAGAATATAATGTACATTTTAAAAATATTATACTACAATATTGCACTAACAATGTAATTATATATACCGTGATGGCAATAGTATTGCACTATAGTGTGCATCGTATGTAATGTACATACAATTCAATCACATATAGTGTACTATACTATAGCATACATCATAATGTAGTATACATAATACATGTAGCGTAACTACAATAGTATCATATAACTTATCGTTAGACTATATGTTTTGCATGTACTTGTTGCATTTAAATGTATCTTAAATATCACTTCTTAAAATATGAAAAAGGAAAACAAAGGCTGTCAAAAATGTATATGAGGATTATTCGAAACGAATTTGTCGCAAATTTTGTATATAAGTAGTGGCCTCACAATTAGGTGATCCATCGATTCCAAACGTTGGATTTTGTTCTGGCCTTCGAGAACATTTTGCGAAACGCCGGCGGCTATAATTTTTTATCAAAACAAGACGTCGAAACACAACTGGTGCCGGAAAATCAACGTATCGATGAAAAGTTATGCCTGCCGATATGGTTTACAAAATACACTCGTTAATTACCCTGCCTCGCCCATCGGAGCCCAACAGAAAATCCAAAACTTAGAAACAATGGTTTATTTATGAGTTTTTTTATACGCAAAATTTACAACAAATTCGTCGTGGATATTTTGAATGAAATTCTTTTTAAATGAATTGATAAATAAAATAAGCCTTGAAAATAACTGTTGTCAATTATTAGAAATATGAACAGGTATTCTTTGTAATTTTTATATAACTAATATTGATATGAAAAATAATGAGTTTGTAGAAAACAAGATATCTGAAGACTGTTTACAATATCACAAACATTACTCAATACATGTCTCAAGCAAAAATTAAAACTACACATTCGTATAATGAATATGCAGTTTTAAATATAGGTTGATCGGAACTCAATAATTTATAATTACAAATTAATTTATTCAACTTGTTTAAATCTATCACGTGAACGAATTGAATAACTGTTTGAATGTTAAGATGACCGTGGCGTTTTATACACATGAAGTGGTAGAACTAAATGAAATGTAAACCTTAACAGATAGGAACTTATGAATTGCCCTTAACTCTCAACATATAATTTGTACAATATGTTTGCAACTCACGTGTGCCAAACAGTAAGAATACTTTTACTTTCATTAATTATCAAACTACAAAAGAAATGTTACATTTTCTCTGAATTTATAATTATTGAAAGATCTTTCGTATCCCTGCGTTGAAAAAAAAAAAAGAAGATAAAACAAAACAAAAAAAAAACAAAAAAATACGTAAATTTTATAGCGTTATCACTTCGTAGCGTGCTACGAATTAAAGGCAACAATTCATTTCAGCTATACAGAAATTAAATGGTCAAGCTACGTGAGCAGATTTTTCATGATAGTGCAAAAATTTCCAGAATTTTGGAAAATAAAATTAAGAAAAATTCGGCTAAATTTTGTCAATATCGTAACGTCGTAAATATATCGTCAATTAATTATGTATTGTGCGATCGGCCTGTCGAAGTTACAACTCTGGCCGATCGTGGTATCTGAGTCGGTGTCGTAAGTTTTCTATTCGTTGGAATACATGATTTCGCGGGACTCCCCTCACTTTTCATCTCATGTTGTTCCGTGTCGTTCGATTCGATGTATTTCGAGTCTTTCGATTTAACAATTCTCTTGTTCAAAGAACTTTCCATCGGCAATTTATCCGTATGCCCATTCTGACGATGCGAGGTTTCCTCTTGACGAGACTTTATTGTACGCGGTATACGATCGATCGACTTACGAGGGCTTCTATTACCATTAAGTTCTCCTAGCAATGGAGGATGATGTCGATCCCAGGAGTCACTCCATCTGTAAAAAAGAAAATGGCCAGATTTAGCGATGTTTGCAATTTTCATATTTTACCAGATTTGTCACATTGCCGCGGAAATTCTTGCAAATGTCTGTATGCAATTGCTTCTTTTTTACATATTCACGTATCAAATAGTACTTCGATGTTCACCATCGTTTAAACAACATGCAACCAAAGTTACAGTATAACGACAAAAGAATTTTTATCTGGTTTTCACATTTGTAAAATTTCGTTGTTTCTCATCGTTTATAATTGTCCAAGTATGTTCTTAAGGCCACACTTGGCCGTCAAGTGGACCATGCGAACTATAAACAGAAGACGATCAACGAAAAGTATACTGTCAGTCACCGGTGACTGACGCGGCCTGAACGGAAGGTATAGCGTCAGTCGCCGGCGACTGACATGGCGCTTAACGTGTTAAAGATAAGTTCAATGTGTTCTATAACAGCTTGAACGTCTCTCAGTTTGTATATTTGCGTTTTTCAACGTTTAAACAACGGATTAATTGAAAATTCAAACCATTTTTCATTTTAAAGTGAGTGAGTTTGTTATTTGTAAAAATATGAACAACGAACTTACCCCACACAGCTATGAACCGCAGCATGAAACATTATTAATTGTAAATCTATTATAATCTCAAAACAGTGTTTTAAAGAGGAAGAATCGTTTAATTGTACTTTTCAAATTATCATATATTTATGTATTTATATTACATGCCAGGAGGATTAGCATACCGAGAAAGTTCAAATATTACAGAGATACTCTGAAGGTAAATTAGAGTTTTTATAGGATGCACCATTAAAGTTGCATTTTGAACTGTTGAAATATGAAATTTTCTTAGTTAATGCACATTAGATTTAGAGTTAGCTAGGACTTGCAATCGAATCAAAGCTGTATAATGTATTTATTCCACTTGTAAATTGTTTCATAGATAAAAAATTCCAAAGCAACATATTATGCAGGCTTTAAATTTGAAAAATCTTCAAAAGAATAGTTTCTCTTTCTTCTTCAAGGACTATGCAAATATTGTACAATTAGTTCAGATGCGTTGTTTATATTACATTATAAAAAAAAAAAAATTCTACTAATACATTGCATCCTTGTAAAATTCGTTAAAATTCACTTCTAATTGTACCGGTTTCAGTGCATTACGCGTTGAAATTTAAAAAAATACAAAAGTACGTGCGTAATATTTACAATTGTATCGCTATCTATACAACAGAAATAAATATTTTGCGATAAGTTTCGTGAAAATCGGTACAACGAAGACAATTGTAGAATCGTTGAAATTTAAAGTGTACCAAATATTCAAACTTTATCGCTCAATAATTACATGATTCGGTCACAAACCCTAATTCAATACGATGCACCGTGAAATACGGTAGAACAGAATTCTATTAATATTACTTCGCACTCACATACAATTGAAATAATTCAGTAGAGCAGCAGGAAAGAAAGATAAAAGCAACAGAATTGTACTATTTTCGCATGCAAAAGAAATTGAGAAAAGTTGTTAGTATCGAATGGTTAAACAGGTGACTTTTATGTAGAAAAGATGCACGAATATAAAGGCGTTTAATGCAGAAAGGAGCAAGTATCCCAAAATTAAATCACACACACTGACCGACTCTACCTTCCCAATCCTGAAGCTGTCTCACATGGAATCACCGGAGAAAGGTAAATGACCAGGGCAGCAAGAACAATACGTTATTTATGACAAATTGCACGATGACACACGTAAAAAAAAATAGGTATTTATGATGTTTGGGAAATGCTATTAATACAATATGTACAAAACACCTAACTTCTCACAAGAAGGTCTGGGGTCGTAAACGTCTCATGGTATAATCGAGAAAAAAAAAAAACGGTGTTTCATTGCGCAAAAATAATTCGATAACGCGAAATTTCTTCCTTTTTTTATGCTTATGAGTCAATAAGAACTACTTTTTCAGGGGGTGCCGCGAGAGACTAGAGACTTCGGCGCCACCGTGTCGGCTAGGATGCGTACGTAACAAGACAATAAAAAGATGTTTCATTTTCTTTTCATTTCTTCCTGGATAAATTTAATTTAAATATATGTTATTTTGAACATATTTCCTAAGATCTTTCGGAGAATTGGCATTTTTCAGTTTTAAACCGTGTTCAATTAGATTTCATAAGTAAGATGAACAGAAAAAAAATCTCACCTAACCAGAGGCCCCATAACATCTTCCTGTGGGAGTGTTTGCAGGAGTGAAGGTCCTGCCGA